TGTACACTTCCTTTGTTAAGAGGGTGGATTTAATGTTGTGTTCCTACCACATTAAAGATAAACAAAAAGCAAAAAAACCCCATACCTAAGATATGATTAGGGTTAGGTAAAATCATTCATGCAATGTACAAATGCATTAAGAACCTGACATGTACTGAGTGTTGAATAACCATTACTATATTTTTCTTATTATACCTGTGAGAAGCCAGGTTGCTTGGATTACTTGATCCATAACAAAGGTACCATCATTAATTGGGTGGCATCATGCTCAAGTTCTAGTTGTCATATCTAGGAGGACAAAACAGACCCAGAGGGCTGAGAGTAAATATTGTACCTAGGCATGGGACTGGATGGTTTTTGTCAGGGCTTAAGCTATGTGCCTATAGCAGAATGCTTTCCAAATCCAGTTTCTCAAAAGGAACTCAAATGGAATTGTTCAGGGCAGTTGCTGGTGTAGAATGTGACAGAATGTTATGTTGCTTTGCATGACCTGTTTCAGGCTGGAGTGTTATTTATTTCCAGGAACGAATTAGGCAAGAGCTGTGATCTGGTTTTTTCCTAGGCAGGTACTGTGTGCAGAAAGAGCTTGGAAACTTTGCTAAACCAGAATCTGCATTAGAGCCCTGGCTATTTTAATGCCTCATATAGAAAAATGGATATTACTCATATTGTTTTTTTAAAAATGAATCACAGAGTTGAGGAAGAATGTCTGAAGTGGGTATCAACAGAATTGTCTTATTTTTCAACATGCAAAAATTCATGAAACTCTTGGCCAGTATTATCCTTATAAACTGCGGCAAAGATTAAGTTGTCACAAATAATTTGTAAATATTAAAAAGCTTCTCATTTTACGAATGTTTAGCTCTTTCCTCCACACCGATGGCACTGTTATCTCTTGTGTTCTTGAGAATTATTGGGATTAATAGGGTGGAGAAGAGCCAAAATTGATCACTTTTCTTAGAAGCTCCTGAAAGTTTTCCTCATTAAATGCTGGGCTGGGTTTCCCACAGAAGTTATGGAGTTTCTGGAGAGATTTTAAATAGAAGAGATTCTCTTCAGCCTGGATGGCATGGACATATCCTGCCTACAGTCAGAGAAATGGACAAAATGATTTTTTTTTTTTTTTTTTTTTTGCCACATCATGCGGCTTGCAGGATCTTAGTTCCCTGACCAGGGATTGAACCCGGGCCCTCTGTAGTGAAAACACGCAGTCCTAACCCTTGGACTGCCAGGGAATTTCCTGGACAAAATGATTTCTAATGTTCTCTTTTTCTATGACCACTGGACCCAGGAAGTCTCAACATAGACGCAGGCTCCTTCACAGTATCTTTGGATCAACAGGTCATGGGAAATCACTATGGCAACACTGACTAATCTCTGAGGGAATGCTGATAGCAGAACCAGAGGTAGGGAGCCCTTGTGGAAGTACTCAAAGGCTTAAGGAAGTTACAGGATTTTGTTGAACTGACACATTGATAGCACAAGTAATGGGGCTGGCAAACTTGATCTTAAGTGATAGACGGCACCTTAGTCAGAACGGCTAATACAGGCTGATTTCTGAATTTATTCCACAAATATTTATTGAACACTGGTCTATGTGCCAGTAATGTGCTAGGCAAGGGAATACGAAGATAAGCAAATCATCATGGTTCCTGATTTCATGGAACTTAAAATTTGATAGGGAGAGTCATACTGTTCACTCTCAAGGTGACTGTCCCCCTCCCCCATATGTACAGACAATAATAGGTGTGGAATGTCATCAGTGGCAAACATTTCACAGATTTTTATTTTGTTTCTGTCTTCAACATTTTTGACACCGTGCTCATAGTTATATTCACTACATGAAAAGATACTACTGTGTTGAAAGCCTTTTAGGAAATTTTGACAGTATTTTTGTACAAAACATTTTTTTGAAAAAATACTTGTTAGGGCTTCCCTGGTGGCTCAATGGTTGAGAGTCGCCTGCCGATGCAGGGGACACGGGTTCGTGCCCCGGTCTGGGAAGATCCCACATGCCGCGGAGCGGCTGGGCCCGTGAGCCATGGCCGCTGAGCCTGCGCATCCGGAGCCTGTGCTCCGCAATGGGAGAGGCCACAGCAGTGAGAGGCCCGTGTACCGCAAAACAAACAAACAAAAAACCAACTTGTTAATTTATTCTATTTTAATTTGCCAATGTCAATAAAAAGTTAAGAAAAAAAATTGATAGGGAAAACCAATATTAACTAACTTACCAGCCACACAAATACATAATTACAGACTGTGATAAGTGCCCTGAAGTAAATTATAGGGTGCTGTGAGAATGTATGAGATGGGAACCTAGTTGGGATGAAAAGATGGTGGTCAGAGTTTGGAACTGTACACGCTTCCCTGAGGAAGGGGCTGAGATCGTAGGATGAGAAGACTAGATAAGCAGGTAAAATCGGAACATTCTAGGGAGAAGCATGGTCAAAGGCCCTGAGGTGGCAAAATGAGGATAGTAGCCTAAAATGAGGCTCATGAGGCATGCCAGGATAACGTGGTTTATGTTATGCATTTTAATCCAGTCAAAGCGCAATGGGAACATACTGAAGGGTTTAGGAAAGTGGAGGTGGGGAGAAGACCAGCATGATCAGATTTTAATTTTGAACAATCTGACTGAAGTGAGGAGAAATCATTGAAGCTACACAGGGCAAATATGCTATAGTTGAGGTAAGAGATGATGGAAGCTTGAACAGATGGTTGCGCTGGACATGAAGAGAAGTAGATGGACTTGAGGTCTCCTCAGGAGATAAAATTGACAGTAGCTGGTGCTGGACTGGGAAAGGGTAGGTGGGGCGAGGGAGATAGAAACTCCAGATTTGAATATATTGTTCAGATAGAGCTATATTGGACACAGCTGGATTTTTAGATCGGACCAGAGGGAACATTTGGGAAGTTCTCCTGGTCCCTCCAAACTAAGTGGGGAAGGACCTCCCAAGCTCAATGTGGCAGAAGACAACGTCTCAATTCATTTTGACCACAGATTCCTGGAGAAGCTCCTCTAAGGCATCCTGAGTGGCAGCCTCAGCCTTTGGATTACCTTAAGCTCTGTGAAGGAAGGGACCATATCCATTTTGTTCCTGACTGTAGGCCAGTGCTTAGCAGAAAGCCCAGCACATATGTCCACCAAAATATTATTGATAAAAATGTATTTCCCCAAGAGCACAGAGAATATGAGAAGTGATGGTGCAATGGAGAGACGTCTAGGAACCCATAGTTCAGACTCCTGGTGCCGTGACCTTCCCATGTCCCTCCCCCCTGAGTCCCTCCCTCCCCCCCAGGTCTTGTGCTTTTGTTGAGACTATGCCTTTATACTCCAAATGCCCCCACCTTCTCATTTAGTTGAAAAACTTTAGAAGTTGCTTGGATGAGTATATTTGGTTTCATTTTAAGGTGATATCATATTTGAGAGCATTCACTTAAGTACAGCATTTTTTTGGTTTGGTGAAACAGGGAGTTACCAATTGTAGCTACTTGGAGAAATGAGTAAAGAACTCAGGTCTAGGTGAAACAAAGGAAATAATACCATTAGGTAAGCCCAACGACACGGTGGAAAGTTCAGCAAAGGAGGTTCCTGCAGATTCTAAAGCCCTGGAGGCCCAGAAGGTCAGGGAGCAGCAGGCTAGATGTTTTTAAAGCAATGAAATGAAGCCAAGATCTAGGAATTCAAGGTGAGAAGGAGGAGCCCCAGCAAACAATGCGGATGAACTTCAGCTCCAAGGACAAGCCGAGTGACAGTCACCTAACCCATAGGTGGTTCGTTGCAACAAAAAGAAATCAGGAATCTATAGGTGGATGGTCTCTGGGGCTAGGACCAAGATGGAGATGAGTTCATAAGTAGGTAGTGATGATAGTCGAGATAACTTTGCCCAAGAATTTTTCTGTCTGATTCTTGCCGTGATTTTCTTCATTTTCATGCAAAAAGGATGAGAGTATCTACTCTCAAAATAATGAAATATATGTTCAGGTGGACCTGACACCATTGGAAATTTGATTTTGCAAAGTCATCAGTATGTCGCAAATGTGAAAGGAGGAAACTACCTCATAGGCAGATGTTTCCTGAAAGGTGAGTGTAAATGAATTGAATTACTGATATCTTCTGAGTGACATGGTTTCAAGCAGCAGACATGAAATAGTTTCTTCACTGTAAGTTCAGTGTGTGTGTGCGCATACACACAAATATGCACACTAGATAATTTCTCCCGCGGTTTCATCCTACATTAATCTGCAACAAATGTTAAATTTTGACAATTCAGGCTTTTCATGTAAATATTCAGCCAAACTCTGTGAGTGATACTGGGCTGGGCGCTGGGTTTTGGGCAAGCATCCGTTTAGGTAGCTGTTTCTTTTGGATGGGGGGGTGGGTCCAGAGTCAACCCAATTTAGAACCATGATATGAGCCAGGAGCAGACCTGCCCTCACTGTAACTGTAGGTGAAAGAGAGTCTTTGAATTTAGCTCTGTATTTTCATGGGGCTTCAGAGACCCCTTCAAATATTGGATTTCCAACCATCTCAGGTGTGATTGTATCAGATAGTCTATGTCTTGTTATATTTACAATAAACCAGAATAGACACACATGCTCTACATTTTTATTCTTTTGGAATGACTGGTTCCTCTGTTGTTACCATCTTTCCACAGAGAGCTGTATGGGCATCAGTGTTCACAGTGGCCTTGAAGAAGCTGTCCGTCCTCTGTAGTTCCCTCTAGGATAGGCAGGCTTGTCTTGGAATCTCCCTACCTCTACTTTTACACTTGTTTCTTTTTTTCAGTCCTCCTATTCCTTTTCTCCTTTTCCTTCCCTCCTCCTTGTAGTCTTACCTAGTACTTTTCTGCTGCCCCTTAGCTTATACCAGTTCCATAATGCTTCATTACCCTTCCTTTTCTTGCCTCCATCAAGGCTCACAGAACTGAGTTCTAATCCTTATTCCTAACCTTACTCTCAACAAGATAACACACCTAATCCACTTATGAAAGTATTCTACTTATCTCTCAATGTTTTGATAAGGGACAAATATTTAACATTCAGGGATTACTTTTAAGTGCTGTGGACTAGAAGCATGGGGCAGGCAAGGCGTGGAGATCATTTTGGATGGGAAAGCCTTCCCATTTTCCTTACATCATACCAAGCAGGCAAAGCCTAAATGTCGGGCAGGTGTCATACCTGCCCATCTTTTCAAATAAAGTTTGAAAAGGGACCCTGGGACATCATCAGTGACGGTGGGATCTCTTCTTTTACCAAAAGAAGCATCATCTAAATGAGTCCAGGTTGGATTCGGTAAAGAATGAGATGGAGAAGGAGATGTGTCCTTGGAATCAGCCAGTCTCATAGCCTGGGGCAGGCGTTTGTGGTCAGCTGAGTCCCACTGCCTTGGGATTAGCCAGCTCTACTTTCTGTTTCAACAGTAAAAAGTCTTGCAAAACTGCTGGCATGTGAGACAGAGGAATCCAGAAAATTTTGGCATCTTTTCCAGCAGCATAATGGGTTTTAGGGAAGAGACTTGTGAGAGCGTGGTCCATGCATTCCACCACCAGGGAGAGGTCCGTGTTCACAAGGGATGTAGTGCCTTTCAGTTTGTCTAGACCTGTAAAAAGAGACAAAAGTACATTTGCTCTGTGGAAGAAGAGGAATAGGGGAGTGTGAGCCTAGGTTGCAAAGGAGAGGATGCAGTGAGGGAATTTATTTTGAATTTGCCATTATAACTGGGTCCCCTTGTGATGGGTTTCTATCTATTCCTCAGAAAAGGATGCAATGGTGATTTCTTTAGACCACTGGCTCTCAAACTTGAGTGAGAAGCAGAATCTCCTAGAGGGCTTGTTAAAAGCCAGGTCCCGCCTCTAGTTTCTGACTCAGTGAGTGTGAAGTGGAGCCCAAGAATTTGCACTTCTATCAAGTTTCCAGCTGATGCTGATGGCGCTGGTCCACGGACCAAACTTTGAGAAGTGCTACTTTAAACCAATGTAGGAAAGATACTTCACAAAGTCTCGGAGGCTCCTGAACCCAGGAAGTTAGTAGTTTGATTCCGTATTTGTTTTACGGGAGTACTAAGTTTATAGGAAATGTGAGTGTTCACAAGTGCTTGCGCCTGTGTGTGCGTACACTCATATAGCATGTGCCTCTATAAGTCAGTGAATAAAGAGAGAATTATCTCCCAAAGTCCTGACTCAGGAAGCTAAAGGTATCCTGCTTCTCAGGTAAATGAAGTGTTTGGGTAACGAGCTAAGATACTTTTGAAAAAATAATAATAAATTTATTTATTTATTTTTGGCTACATTGGGTCTTCATTGCTGTGCACGGGCTTTCTCTATTTGCGGCAAGCGGGGGCTACTCTTTGTTGTGGTGCACGTGCTCTCATTGTGGCGGCTTCTCTTATTGTGGAGCATAGGCTCTAGGGGCGTGAGCTAGAGCAGCACGTGGGCTCAGTAGCTGTGGCACACGGGCTCAGTAGTTGTGGCTTGCGGCTCTAGAGCGCAGCCTCGGTAGTTATGGCACACGGGCTTAGTTGTTCCGCGGCATGTGGGATCTTCCCAGACCAGGGCTCAAACCCATGTCCCCTGCACTGGCAGGCAGATTCTTAACCACTGCGCCACCAGGGAAGTCCCGAGCTAAGATACCTTTAAAGAGGCAGGTATTTTATCAAGGGAGTGGTGATGGCTTGGAGCATTCCTCCTAAGCTCTTAAAACATACCTTGCGTTGTGTCTTCTCAAGGGAAAATCTATTGTGTTAAATCTTTCTTTCTACTTCAGGGCCAGTAGCCAAAAGTTGTTCAAAGAGTCTAATTGAGGCTAGCTCGTAAGTCTTAGTCAATTTTAAACTCCTACTACTCCACCTTGCGCAATGAAGCAAGGTGAGCTTAAATTTGTGGTCTACTTTGGAACTGAGTCTGGCTGATCTTGAGGTCCTGGCTCAGAAAACTCTAATGAGCACCCAGGACAAAATAGGGCTCTAAGCCTTTGGGAATTCTGAGAAAGGACACCTGACCCAGGGGCCAAGTCAAAAATAATTTTGAGATGGAAGTTGATGATATATTCACAGGCACTTAGAAAGTATCAACGTCAACATCAAACAGGGAAAGCTCTTTTCAATGAGGGATTTTGTTTCCGAATTTACTTAGAACCTTCAGAGGCTGTACGTGAGTGAGAAACAGAGTTTAATGGCAGTGGTTGTAGCCCTACACATAGTGACATATCAGCACTGGGAGGTTTGTCAAACCAGATGTTCTAGTTGATGTGTGTGTGTGTGTGTGTGTGTGTGTGTGTGTGTGGTGAGGTGGCTGGGGAACTCAGTCAGTCTACAAACTTCCCCAGGTGGATCTGACTAGGCTCTTGGCTCCACCTTGAAAACTCCTGACCTTGAACCTTGCCATAGTTGGCTGTCTTACCAAGCCTGCTGATGAAGAGGTAAGGTCACAGCTGGGGTTAGAGTGACACAAAATTAGGTGGGGCCCTGTGTGGCTCAAAGCAGGAGCTTAGTAAGTGTTCGAGGAATGGCAAATAAACTAACAGGGCCATGACGTTTGACGTGGAGGTGGGCCCCTCATACAGGAAGTTCCAGCAGTTCCTCAATGCCTCTTCACTGTTGCAGTGCACGGCCCGAGAACAGATGGCGAAGTCAGGCTGTCTGGGTTTAGATCTAGCTCTTCCACTTACTAGCTGTGCCACTTTGGGCAAGTTAAATCCCTGTGTCTCTGTTTCTATAAAATTCAGAGGGTTTGTTTGGGCGTTTTAAATGAAAGAGTTTGTGTAAAGCACTTAGAATGGTGACAAGTACATAGTAAATGTTCACTATGTGTTAGTCATTGTTATCCAATCTTTATGATTATTCCTCTATCCCTGACTCAGTCTGACTTATGTTACTTTTCCTTCCATCTCCATCTCCCATGCATTCCTGCTCCAGAAGACTTCCACCCAAATAATTTCTTCCTGTTTAGGCTTATTCAAACCTGACCTTTCATATAAAGGCTTCTTAACCAGCAGTACTTTTTATCCTGTGCTGAATTTCTTGGTAATTAGACAGCATACTATCTAGCACCCCTTCTGGGCTGTTGGGTTGTGTCTCAGAAGTAAAGGATCAAGTTTCTTGCATGTTGTACAGTCTCATCTGCTTACATTTTGCTGTCAACTAGCTTGTAAGCTAGTTAAGGGTCAAAGTCTGAGTCTTTATATTTTGTAACCTCCATAAATCCTTGAACAATGTTGAATGAGTGGTCGGTGATTACCAAAAAGAGGAGGTTTGGGTAGAGGTGATGACCGTGGGCTCCAGTTCAGGCACGGCCTGGGGGAGTTGTATAAGCTTGGGTAGGACATTTCCCCTTTCCAAGCCTCTGCTCACTACTATAGTTCTTTTGAGGAATAAATGATATAATTTATAAGGCACTTAGTATAGAACTTGGCACTTAGTAAATGCTCAGTAAGTGTTTATAAACACTTGGAGGAGCAAGAGATGACACCGGAATTAATAAGGATCCCTGATCCATATTTGAGATCTCTATTGGTGTATTACCATGAGAACCTTATTTTTTCAATTATGTTTGAGTCTCCTTCAAGCTGTCTAGGACAATGAATACCAGAGAACCCTGGGTCCACCCAGAAACTCACTTTTTTCGATGTAGCCTTCTCCGTATTGTTGTTTGATATCTGGAGACAGATGCTTCCAAATGGTGAGTTTTCTTTCGGTGGTCTTTACTGGATCTGACAGATCTGTTTTGAACAATCCTGGTTCAATGCATGCGACGTGCACATCAAAAGCTTTCATGTCCCGCCTGTGAAAAGAGCCCATAGAAGATGTTTAATCCAGGCTTACTTGGAGAATGTTTGCTTATGAATCTTTTCATGGAATCATGGAATGGGGTGCATGGGAAAAAGCATCTTGTTCTACCCTCTCAGTTTGCAGATGAGGAAACTGAAGTTCAGGGTGGTGAAGTGAGGGCTGGTTTAGTGGCAGAACAGGGAAGGGATCTGGGTAGACCCATCCCCAGTGCAGTGTTCCCCCAAAAGATAGTGTCTCATTAAGTTGACAAGCATATAGTGTCTGGTACATAAATAAATGTTCAGTGAATGTTAGCACCTATTATTTTCTAATATGCCCATCTTTGCTTTACCTTAAGCTGTCATTGAAGGCTTCTACTGCATATTTGGATGGAGCGTAGCCCCCTCCGCTGAATGCAAGCCGACCCCCAATGCTGGAGACGTTGATAACCCTCCCTCGAGCTTTCTTGACCAAGGGAAGCATATTTAACGTGACACTGATGAGTCCAAACAGGTTCACTTCAATAGGTTCTCTGTAGTCCTCCACTGTCAGCCAGTCGGTGGGCGCCAGCACGCCGAGAACACCAGCATTGTTGATCAGACCCCAGAGACCTAGAACAGAGAGGAAGGGAAGGAGGTGTGGTAGAAGGTGACATTATATGGGCATCCTTGATGGAACTACAGCCCCTTGCTTTACCTGATGGTGCCATTTCCTGCTCCTAGTCATACTCCTTCCTGCTTTGAAATACTTTACTGTCTTGGGAAGTGAGAGCACAGAGGGTGGGAGGCTAAACTGAAATGGCTGAAGTTCTGTGACTGGAAGCCAATCTCACAATTCTGCTTCTGTTTCTGCTTCTGAATGTCAAATACTGATACTGTCTGAGTGAGACTTTTTGCTTTTTAATCTCAGATGTGAGTAAATTGGTCGATTTTTCCTACCGTGCTAGATGGCAAAGCCAGAGAATATTTATAAACAGTTCTTTATAGACAAAGAACAACATTGATCTATTTCCCAGTTATTTTTGGTAAAAATCCAGTCATTCACTTGGCTTATTTTATGGTGGGGAGCATTTAATATTGTTAAAGGTGTTTGGAATTCAAGCATTAAAAAATAACTGGAGCCTCATCAAACCGTTGTTTTTGAAAGTTTCAGAGTCTCAACTATATGACGAAGATGTGATAGAAAAAAATCACATACATTTGTTTTTTCCTTTGTGGACTCAAATATCTTCATTCATGAGAATATTTCAAACTTGATCCAAGCCAATAAAAGTATTCTAGTTCAGAATGCTGCCATCTTTGCAGAATCTAAGGCAGAATGAGGTCCAGTGACTCACTACTCTATCACGACTATCTAAGACACCTTTGCTCAGATCCTCAGACCATTTTCTTCCTTTCCCAGTGAAAATGTGTGAGCTCTGGAACCATTTTGTAGTGAGAAGTGGGTCCCAATCCAGCTGACAATTTGGAGATTGCCCCCATGATCTCCTGTGGCTTTTAGCCCCAAGTTCTTTGCTGTGCAGGGGGCTAGAGTAACAGTTCACAGGAAAAGACCAGGAAAAGTTAATACCTCTATCTCAGTTCTAAATTCACCCACTGGGACTTAGGATAACGTGGGCTGTGTCTCTCATGCACGTAGAGAGCTTGCAACTTAGAACTACTCAGGGGGTTATTCTAAAATTTCTCCAATCTTCTCCAGTACACAGCTGGTATTTAGGAAGCATTTTTTTGGAGGAACTATTTAAAATCAGAACACATTTTATTTAGCTTTGGTAACGTCTCAACACCCCTTTCATTCTTCCCATCCCCACATCACTCACCTTTCTCCCCTGCTTGGTTTTTCACCCACTGGGCAGTCCTCTTGACACTTTCTGGGTCAGTTACATCCAGAAGCACCGTATGAAGCCTTTCTGAGGTTTCTTCCTTTAAAGCTGTTGATCCTGATTCAGTCAGACAGGCAGCAATTACATGAAATCCTTTTTTATCAAAAGTTCTGGCTGCCAAGTTTCCAAAGCCAGTGTCACACCCGGTGATGAAAATGTACTTATCAGTGATGTCTGTGATCTTTAGCTGTCCTTTATAATGCCATAGAAAACCACAAAGGATCAGGAGGGCTAACACCCAAAAGAGCATTTCCCCCTGTGTATGACAGAGACACTTCTTTCTTGAACAGTAAAAGAAGGTGGCGTCCTGAGTGTTCAAAATTAGAAAGAAAATTCAAATTAGAACCATTAAGGCATTATAACCCAGGAGTGATGAACTTAAGATATCTTAATGCATTTGAGTGGATAAATAGATAGTTAAAAATACAATAACTCTTATTTGGTTGGGAAGATGGCCATTTAAGTGCTAAAACACTCCTCTAAAGTAATGCAAAAACTAACCAAGTAGTAGAAAAAGTAATGGCAAAGTTGACACAGGTCATTGGGTTGATAAGACATTTATTTCCTGCATATATTTCTTTCCTTAATAAGGAATACAAACATACATACAGATAGAATGGTACACACACACACTCATGTGCACACATACACACAATTTTATTTCTATTGCTTTACAAGGAACATATTGTTTCAGATAAAAAATAGTGTAATATATCTTCACTTATCATGGAAAATTTGGGCTCTGCTTTCATCTTTTTTTCCTGCCAAAAGATCTATAGCTAAAGAAAGAAAAAAGAGTAAAAGAATTACTAACTGATAAACATAAGTCAGAGGTAAGTGGTAGGTTTGTGAAAACTAGTTGATTCTTGTGATATAGCTGTGACTATTTCTAAAGCAGTCAGGTTTTTAGACTATCGTGGCGTAAAAATTGGGTATAGTTTCTCCAAATCTTCCCTCTGTAGGAGTTATTCATTTGTTGCAAATCATGTCCATGTAGCAGGATTTCCCCTTCTCAAATATATAAATACATTAAAAATATATAATTTTGAGGGGTGGGGTGGTGTAACCAACTCTTGCAAAATTTCATATTTAGACATTTTAAGGAAATTTCATGTTTACACATTCAATTAGTATAGTGTTTTGTTCAAGTCCTGGTCTTGATAAATAATTGTCAAATAACGAAATGTTGACTATATTCCCTGAATAGACTCTGTAGCCTTTATTGCAATCCGAACTCCCAAGGGAATTTTGTGAAAAATGCAAATACTCATGGGGTTTAACGTGCCCTAGAGCAGAGAGTGGAAATTTTCTGTGTCGTTGTGTTTGGCCGATGGCAGGCATAAGGTGAGCAATAGTAAAACAATGGCTTACATTTATGAAGCATTCTGCACTGTATTTACATATAGGTCTCATTTGATCCTCTTAACAGCTTTCTCAGTTAGAGAGGGCACATTACCTGCCTCATTTTATAGGAGAATTAATATGCCAGTTAATAAGTGTAAAATGAATGATGGAATTAGCAAATCATCATTTGGCAACTGACATAGTGACAATTGTTCCAGGCAATTTTAAACTAGTGGGTGAAATTCTGACGAGAAACAATAACCATAGAATCTCAAAGAATCTCTGCATAAGATTTGTACTAATTAAAAAGAGAGTAATAGTAATTTCACAGTGGAGAAATCTGACAGATACCACTTTAACCAAGTGATAAAAATGAACACTACTAGTTATGGGACAAACCAACATCATGTTCCTCCTGGTATAGCCACTGAGAAGGACACAGCAGCACTTCTGTGCATAACTGAAAGCTAATCATGCATAAGGCACATCTTTCAATTCCACACAATGTATGGCCTGTACTCTTCAAAAATGTCAAAGGCATGAATGAAGGAAAAGAAGGACTGAAGACTGTTCCTGATTAATGGAGACTAAATAGGAGTGACAACCCCATGCAACTTGTGATCTTGCACCAGAAAATCATTTTTGTCTTTTGTCAAAAAGAACATTTTTAGGTTGACAAGTGAAATTTGAGTAAGCTCTGATAAATAATACTGCATGAATATCAATTTCTCAATCTTGATAATTTACTATGATTATGTAGAAAATGTCCTGCTTTTTAGGAAATACACACAGAAATATTTAAAGATTAAGTAGCACCATGTCTTCAACTTACTCTCAAACAGTTTAGGAAATAATAAGAATATGTATATAAACAAATATATTAAGAACACATTTGTTCTCTAAGGAGAGAATAAGAGTGTAAATGTGGTACAATGTCAATATCTGGGGATTCTGGGTTGTACTATTCTTTCAACTTTTCCATAAGTTTGAAATTAATTCAAAACAAAAAAGTTAAAAATTTGGCAAAGGAAAAGAAAACTTTTTTTTTTTTTTCTTCTGAGAAAAGTGTTCGACTGCTTTGAGTTCCATGCACAGAATAGGTAAGAACTATTTCATACCCAGGACTTCAGAACCTAGTGACCTTGGACACTGAGTTTTCTGCCTTCTACTCTTTGGCAAGTTCACCTTCATAACCACTGGAGAAAAACAAAAACTCAAACCAAACCAGTCAGACTCCCTCTTCTCTCCTCATCTTCTCTACACCCCATTCAACCTCCTCCTTCCCTAGCCAAACCAATTTTTCCTTGATAACAAGCAAACAGAGAGTAGGTTTTAGTTGTTAGGGATGGGCTCATGTTCAAATGTGTTGTCCTCACTAGTTACCCCTCTGGGCTGAGGGTCATTTCAGATGCTGGTGTCCCAGCCTGCAGCCTGAATTTGAGGACAGCAAACCTTGACCTAGAGTTTTGCAAAGCCTGTCCTTCCCCCAAAGATTATCATCCCAAAATACTGGTCTTCTTCAGTTCCTAAGGTTCACATTCCTCTAGGTCACTGGACAAAGTCAGCCACGAACCAACACATACCTTTGTCCTCTAATAGTATTTTAGCCAAGATGCCACCTCTGAGTAACAACCATGGGTCGGTCAGAGTCATTGGGAACGTGACCTGTACACAGAAGCTGATTGATGGCTGATTGGTTCATTGACCACCGAGAAGTAAATGAGTAACAGCAACTAATAGGTCTGCTTCAACCTTAGTCTGCCAGGTGTGGTCACCTCCACATAGCTCTCTGGTGACAGCAATTCAGTGACTCAGGACACTGACTTTAGTTGCTTGGGTTGTTTGCTTATATGTTGTGTTTTCCAATTTATCTCACACAAACTGCTTGGTAGGGGTACAAATCCCTTGGCAAGAAGCACCTAGGTCTGCAATAGTCCTTCTAGCACTCAGGGGCTGTGAGCCCCTTGACTCGTCAAGGACAAGAACCAAGTAAGAGAAAGCAGATCTGCAGCCCCTACAGTGCAGTGCAAAGGGATGGGTGCAATTCTGAATATAAGTCCTCTGAACTGGTCATGGAAATTTTTCTTAAGCCAAGATAAAATTTGGAAAAACAAGGACCAAGATCACACACACACACACACACACACACACACACACACACACAACAGTTAGAGCAGGGATTAGGAGCCCAGGCCTTGGAATCAGGCCGGTAAAGTTTCAGTCTCAGTTCCTCTACCGTCAGAAGGCCTTTGGGTAAATTACTTTTATTGTCTTCACCTCCATTTTTCTATCTGTAATATGGAGATAATAACTTCTACCTTGAAGAGTACTTGGTGAAATAAAGTGACTAGGCGTGCTACACAGGAAGAACCTTGTCGTATGGCAGGATCAATCACTTTCACTTTGTGAGGGGACTGCTCTATGCATTGCCCATATTTTGGATTAGGTTCTCAACCTCAGTACTTCTGCAATTTTGGGTCAGATAATTCTTTGTTATGGGGTTTGTCCTGTGTATTACAGGGTGTTTAGCAGCACCCCTGGTCTCTATCATCTAGATGCCAGTAGACCCCCTCCCCAGTTGTGACAACCAAAAAACCAAAAGTGTCTCCAGACATTGCCAGATGGCCCCCGGGGATAAAAGCACTCCCATTTGAGAACCACTGGTCTAGCACTGCCTTGTCTTGGGGGCCCAGAACTGTACAGCCTCAGAACTACTTTTCTGGAAACTCAGTTGTTCGTTCCTCAGTAGTGCCACATTGATAAGAGTTCATATTTTTTTATAGTCTTACCAGGAAAGTTTTGTTATTTATAAATATTATTCATACCCTGCTGCTGTAAGCATCAATTTCTATGTTTATAAAAAAATAATTGCCTTTTTGTCATCAGGAGGATAGGAGGCAGTGAACAAAGCCAAATTTATGTGTGATACAATTTGTGAATTTAGAAATTACCAAATGAGCACTCACAGCTTTTATGAGGCCTAAATTCTGGCTGAGCCTTTTGAGTTTGGACCTCTCTGGACATCTCTGGGGCACCTTTCAGATGGGTGGCCTGCTGACTACAGAATTCAGAGGATGCTCCTAGAAAGCCATGGTCCTTGGGATTCCCAGTTGACCAAGTCAGGTAGAAATGATAATAACTCTATGATTTATTGAGTATTACCACATTCTAGGTGCTCTGCTAGGATCTAGAAATATCTTTCTCGTTCAAACCTTACAGTAAAATGATCTGTATTTTATAGATGAGGAAACAAATTCAGAAGTGCATGTTAACTGGCTCAAGATAGAATTGTGCTGCTCTGGGGACTGCTATGCAGGCCACTCAATCCCAGCATCCATGCTTTAATCCTCTGCTCCACTGCTACCTGGATTCCCACGCAACTCTGGGCTATGTGTACACTTCTCTACACCACCTGTGCATTGTGTGATAGTTGGCATTAAGTAAATAAATGTGGAAGGAAAGAAGGAGGAGAGGGAGAGAAGGAAGTTTCCACTTGAACACCAGGGTTCTAGTGATAATTGGATTAATCTTTGAGCCCTCTAAATCATCAGGGCATCATCAACATCATTATTATCGTCATCTAGTCACACTTCCAATTTAGATAACTTTAAACGTTTTTGAAAAGTGTTCAAATAAAATTTATCTCATTAAATTGTCAGAATACTTCTGTGAGCTAAGTAGGGTAGATGTCATACATAAGGTCGTTTGCCAGAGAGCAGCTAGGTCTAAAATTTTGATCTCAATTCCTAAACTGTGTAAAAAGAAAAGTAGAAATAGAAAGAGATGAACACATTATCAGTCAATAGGAAAAATGAAAATACATTATCAGAATGCTCCACCATGCCACAAAGCCTCAAAAGGAACCAAGAAAGGAGAACTGATTTTCTCTTTCATCTGCACGTGAAGGGCTGAAGAGTAACTGCTTGGCTGCAGCTACAGGAAAATATTGCAACTCGATTGCTGACCTTGCCCACTTCTGCTTCTTTTAATTTTCTCTCTCTGGCTTTCTTTTCCTAGTAAAATATCTAAAATAAGATCCTTTGATATCACTTCTCTTAGCCATCTTCCTCTGCCCTTTAAAAATAAATGACACAGTTTAAAAGAAACAAAACGGAAAATAATGTCTTAATGTTTCAATGTCATTGCAAGGTATACTTTTTATAACAAATGTAGAATTCTTTCCATACAACTTGGTTTTATTTCCACAGAACTTCACAAAAGACTTTGTTTTAGAAAGCAATACTGAGACTAGTCAATCACACTGATCGTTAAGGGATTTGTAGAATCTTTATTTTTTTTCAATTTGTTGCAATCATGGCCTGAGTTGAATCCACAACTAAGTTTTTATCAAAATACATCAAATAGAGAACATTTAGCAATTGTTTTCTAAAATATTTTCTTTCTGAGGTTCTCTTGCACAAGCTTTCTTAGTGTTGACAGCAGTCTGACCGGACGTGTATGTCCTTTGTACGTTTAAATATTGTAAACCTGGTTAATTGACACCAAATTCCTTTTTATTTTTACCTTTTCATTGAGTCAAGAAATTCTGTCACTATTTAACCTAACTGCCCTTTCTGAGATTTCTGTGGCACTTTTCTTTAAGAAAAATGACACTTGCGCCTAATGACACAAACTAATTCGTATGACTAATGAATGATGTTCCTGTGAAAAAAATGTTCAAGTTGGGCACCCAGAAATCTAAAAAAATTTTTAAAAATGAAGCTGAGGGACCTTACCTGAAATAGCCTTACGTAAGGCAACAAGCGGTCCGTTGAGGGTCTGATTAAAATTATAATGATTATGATGTCCCTGATAATACGGCTGAGATGGTATTTATCCTTGTAAGTTCCCTCACTCAGTGGGATGAAGAAGCTCCTCCACCAGTTATGTTCCTCTTGCATCCTGCTTCCTGCAGGAGGGAGGCAGCCCACGGTACCCAGTGTGCCCTGTGGAGTGGGACATTGAGGTATGGAGAGGGGTGTTCCTCTTTGCAGACTCATTCAGCCTCCTGGCAGAGGTGTGCCAGCCCACTCTTTTGTAGGGAAGACCTGACGAATTTACGTTTTGCATTCTTTAGTTCTAAGGAAAAATGTATCTCTTTCTTTTGCTTTCTCTCAAAACTTTTAAATTATAATTGATAAAAACATCCATAATAATAAATAAATTAATTAATATTATTATTTTGCCCATATGCTTCCTGACAGTACTGGCAGGTTAAGAATTGTTGTTAAAGCCATGGTTACCTTATTTATGTTGCTGAATAAAAGTTGCTAATTGGAAGACATTGTATATTGTATTTTATTATAGCTTAGTTACAAAGCTTCAAGGAAAGCTTAGAATACAGAGAGAATGTTATGTAGAGATGCAGAAAGCATGTTCAGATCTTCAGTATATTTCTTTTAGTCTCAGTTATCTTTGAGCAGAAGCAGAGTTTTTAAAGACAGTACCTTGAGAAAGTGACATGCCTTATAAGGGTTTTAGAACGAATTCCCATTTTCTCCATTTGATATGTATGAGATAATAATTTTTTCCTTGCATTTAAATATTGAGCTTTGTCCTAAAAATTGGGCACACTTTTCGAATGTCTAAAGTACAACAAAGATGATACAACATTTAATTTGCATTTTATGCAGTATCTAGCCAAGGATTTTTTTTAGAGCACTTACTAAACTAAATAAAACATAATTCTTACCCTGGAGCTAATAGTGTAGCAGGACATTTCAGAACTATTTGTACAACCCTAAATTGAATTTTAATTTAAAAGTGTGTTTTCTTTAAACTTTTTCCCCAGCTGCTAAAAATCAACCCGCTGAGAGAGCGACACCACACTACCGTTTGCATCATAAAGCCTTTAACAAGGGCTGTCCTTGAAGCCACTAAACTGACTTTCTCCCTTTCTCATTGTATGTTGGGAGTTTCAGGTAAAATCCCAACCTTATTCATAAAGTGGAGAGTAAATATACGAAGTGGGTTTATTATTGTCATCCCAGTGTCCAAGGATCAAATGTGTGTTGAGGAATTTCCCTGCTTCCTTCTGGACTAGACAACATCTTTCTCACTCAGCTAGCGTGTGTGTATATAATATTTGCCTAAATTGACATCTGAAAATATTGGTAAAGCAGGTAGACAAACAGACCTGACCTGCAGTTGGTAGCAAATCTGTTGTTCCAATCAGAAACTCAGCTAAGATTCCCACTCTTTTTGGAGCCTCTTCCCACTCCAGTTTGCAATTAATTATAAGATTCACAGATGGTGTCAAATAAGCACAGAGAGATGAACTAGATGTAAATGTAATTGTAACTCTAGGGTGCTAAAGAACATTCAAAGAGAAACCTGGGGGAGTTCAAGGCCAGGTCTTGAGGGACACTGAGATCACTTCTGTGGTGAGATGGACCCAGGGCCCGTTACAGCCTCCTAACATATCACTCTTTTTTTTTTTTATAGCAACCGTTGACTGCAGCATGAAAGACAACTTGATTCATTTTGTAAGACAAAACAGTGTGAAGACTGACATGAGAAATGAAGGAATAAATGACAGTTACCTTATTTAAGATGAACGGGGACACAGAAGCTGGTGTGGACTGGCTGGGCTGCTTGTTGTGATCTGCCCGATCTGCCCGCTGTGCTGGGGAAAGAAGGGTTGTGCCACCCTGACGTCAAAGATCCTCTTAGGGTGGAGGTGCCTGGGCTCCTGTCAAACTCAAAGTGCTTAAATGTGTGAGGAGTCCTCAGGTTCCCTCCTCGCTCTGTGAGTCACCCTCGCTGTGACTCGGGGTGATGACTAAATCTCTCTTCTGCGGTTGAAGGAAGCCAAGAAGTTGTGGGTCACGTGTTTCCAAAGGAATCAGCAGTATCTTTAGTAAATGAAAGGTAATTACTTTTAGAAGGGACTTACAAATGATCAATAACACCACTTTCACTGTGAGTACTGAAATAATTAACATGGAGACATTCTTTTGCCCAGTGCATTGTTTTAATTATTTAGTTTTTGAATTATGATTATTGCTCATGATCTCTAGTTATTTTTTTCCTCCCTGTTAACACGCCTTTGCTGATTTAGTACTCCTTCCCTCCTAAGAGTGTAGGTAGGGGAAACCAGTCTCTGATGATTCGTTTTTACCACTTTTGTTGTTGTTGTTGCTATACATTGGAGAGCAAGGAGATCAAAACATTTTAAGGAAATGAGAGAGTGGACTTATTTAAAAGTCTTAATTTGTGTTTTAATGTATGACAAGGAGATATTACTGAAGTGGTCTCTAGAACTGAGACCACTGGGAAGAGGAAAGGACGCCCCCTCCCTGCCCAGAGTTGGTCTGTTTTAGGGTCATCACAATTGACCTGGCATATCCTGGGATGCAACAGAAAATACCAAGGCTGCAGGTGCTAATATATACACCAGCCCCACCCACCCCCAAGCCTGTCACCTTCACCCTAGGCACTCAAGCTGGTACAAACGCCACTGATTGTTTAGTTTCAGTCTCTTTATATACTGATTTGTTGCTATACGTCTCAGATTTCCCAGGCTTCTGTGTCCCTTCTTTGAAAAACACAGTTTCTTATGGTTGAGCTGAGATGAGTGGATGAATGAACATATCTGTCTAGGTAGAGTCTAGACAACTGCTATCACTCTTTAAATTACACAGGGATCTTTTTTCTCCAAAAGAACAAAACACCAAAACTGAAATTTACTCAGGTAAAGATTTAGTGTGTGCAAAATGTCCAAGTATAGTTTTTTCCCTTTGACATTTCACATGTCAGAGTAAGGCTTAAATAGAAATCTTCTTTGAGAGATAATACATTGACTTACATCCTCATGAAGACAGGTATAAATGATTACTGTCTGACCTTTCCTGCAAGCAAGTTACTGTCACTGAGAGGTGGAGAGAGCCACAGACACCTGGGTGGTCATGGGGTAGAGATGGGAAAAGGGCCAAGAAAAGGCTGTAACATCAGTAGGTTTTGCTGACTCAGCAATCGTGTTTGGCGCCCTGTTTTAAAATTTTCCCAAGTAGACTTTAAAAAAAAAATCAGATGTTTTGACTGATCTGCATTCTTGCCGTGTGTCTGGATCCCTCAATTCCAGTGGACCCAATTTAGGAGTTCAGCTTCAGTAGCCCTGGCACCAGGGTTGGAACACTTGCTTCCTTTGCCAAATGATCCCATCTAGGTGTTCAGTTAATGAAATCATTTGTCAGCAGCGCCTTATCTGGACTGTTAACATATCTGCATTTAAATTCACTTCTTAAGTGCTAAGCTTTCTTTCATTTCCATTCCTTAATAAGGCAACATATGAAAGTGTTTTTTTGTTCAGAACTCTCCCTACATTAGACTTCTGGTCATCAAAGGTGATGTAAAAAATCAAGAATGAAATTGCAATTCCATTTTCTTCCTAGTTCCTTTTTAAAACAGAGATTGTATTGTGAATTTCATTCAAATGTAAATTTCGATGTTGATACTTGGGCTGTAATTATACAGGGGTAAGTCTAGATACTGCCATAGAAAAAACACTAAACATGACTCTCCTTTTTCTTCTAAGTGTGTATGTCCCCCATATTTCCCTCTGATTTCTGCCCAAAGATGCCTTCTCCACTCTTTTCCAGACACCAAAACACAAGGAGAATATCCGGATCCAACACTGTCTCAGAGGACATACATCAAGTTCCTTGTCACGGCACTCTGCTGGGGTGGTCCAAGCCACAGGTATTCTTAAAATGGGAGTCAAATGGAAAAAAGCACGTACTCCAGCACTGCAGGCTGTAGGAGATCCAATTCCTGGAGTATGGCTGGTGTCACTCTTGTAAGGGTTGCCAGAGAGAAAAGACTGTTTATGGAGTTTGCGTGTTGACTTCCTCCTTCCTGGCATAATAATATAGTCCTCTCTCCAAGGTCGCTCTCAGTGGAGTGCGTTTCTCTGAATAACCAATAATGAATTGGATTTATGGCTTCCTGGTAAAAACAGTACAGGCTGTAATTTCTACCTCCTTCCTTTGTCAACAGGCAGCTCTCTTATTTCCACTCTAAAGGTTCCCCCGACTACACCAACAATGCCTCTGACATGCGAGGAGCTGAATTGCAAATGCTGTTCATAAATGCATAGCTAGGCTTGGTCAAAACCAGGAGCTTTGTTATTCATTTGGCATTCCCTGACTGTCCCAGCTGTAAGATGAAGCTGGGCTATTCTTTTGTTCCCCTACACTGTAAGATATTTAGGTATAGTAATAAGGGACTGAGTCACGGGAACATTTGGTAGATTATTTGAAGAAAGATTCTTCTTATTTGCAGAACACACATCATTTTAACTTACTCAAACAAGAGGTCTTGGTTTGAAAGGTGGGGTGAGGAGTATCATATTGGTGAGCATTGTCCCGTCAAGGCACATGGAGCAAGAGAAGATGGGTGAGAATGGAGGGGAAAGATCAGAAACACTGGGGATTCTCAGCAACAGGGAGACTTGCGAGAAATAAGGGTGGAGGTTTAGTAAGAAAAATGTGACTCTCACAGAGGGAGGGAGGTGTTTACTCCTTCTGGTGTGACCAACACACGTAGAGCATTAAACATTTTTTTATCCCCTGGCTTAAGAATGATCCTCTTGCTAACTTTACTGGTTTCTTCCTTTCCAAGACAACTTCCTTTTCCCAGAATCTTAACTGAGATGATAAAGAATCAAAGGAAATTATGAGCAGATGCTTGATGATATACAAGTGCCATCCAGTAGGAAAGAACTCACTGGGATCCAGGAAATGGAGAGGAGTTAAAAACAACATTTGGTAGTTAGAGATAACTGTCTTCAGACCCTGTTTTAAGGTCTTCTGAGCTGTTTGTTCTATGCCACTCTGTGTTAGGCTCATGAGATGCAAGGATAAATAAGTAGGGCCTTTCCTGTTGAGGAATCACTCACCATTGGCTCATTAATTGTTGATGAAGGAAGCCCACAGAGCTTTTTCCTCTCCTTGAATGACCACTGCCCCTTGCTGGCTCCCAACATGTGACTCTCATCTGTGACTATTTTTTGCTCCTTGAGACTGTTTTATATTGTCAGAGAAAGGGTGATCTCATCCTTGGCTGGTGGATATGTGAACCGCTACAGCCTTTTTTGAAAGCTAACTGGAAACATCTATTAAAATAAAAAATACATATTACTTTTTGACCCAGCAATCCCACTGCTGGGAATCCATTTTATAAAAACAAAGCCAGGGGCTTCCCTGGTGGCGCAGTGATTGGGAGTCTGCCTGCCGATGCGGGGGACGCGGGTTCGTGCCCCGGTCCGGGAGGATCCCATGTGCCGCGGAGCGGCTGGGCCCGTGGGCCGTGGCCGCTGAGCCTGCGCGTCCGGGGCCTGTGCTCCGCAGCGGGAGAGGCCACAACAGTGGGAGGGCCGCGTACCGCAAAAAACAAACAAACAAAAAAAACACAAAGCCAGTATACATGTACATATGAACCAGAGGTGGCAACAAGATCCAGGACTGCCAAAGAGCAAAGTGATTGCCACCAAAAGTGGGATGGCTGAGTAAATCATGGTAGATGTGTACATGGAATATTATTTTAAAGCCATTAAATAGAACAAATTACAGCTCTACCACTTGGCTTGGAAGGCTTTCCATGACCTCACTTTTGTAAAGTAGACAGGGAATCTCTATGTGCACGTGTGTAAAGATAGTTAAGTGAACAGGGAGAAACTATGGAGGGATATGCCCTGGGTTGTTAAAAAGGGGCACTAGTAGATGGGTGGTGTAGGTGAAACAAAGAGAGGATGAAACAAGAGAAAAAGGAAAAGATACGTATATATGTGTATATATGTGTGTGTGTGTGTGTGTGTGTGTGTGTGTGTGTGTATATATGTTTTTTTTTTTTGGCTATGCTGCGTGGCTTGCAGGAGTTCCCTGACCAGGGATTGAACCCAGGCCCTCAAAAGCACAGAGTCCTAACCAGTTGACCACCAGGGAATTCCTGGAAAAGGTATTTTTAAAAGACTGCACTGGGGACTTTCCTGGTGGCAAAGTGGTTAAGAATCCCTGCTAGTGCAGGGAACACAGGTTCGAGCCCTGGTCCAGGAAGATCCCACACGCTGCGGAGCAACTAAGCCCGTGTGCCACAGCTACTGAGCCTGTGTTCTAAAGCCCGCGAGCCACAACTACTGAGCCCACGTGCCACAACTACTGAAGCCTGCATGCCTACAGCCTGTGCTCTGCAACAAGAGAATCCACTGCAATGAGAAGCCCGCGCACTGCAAAGAAGAGTAGCCCCCACTCACCGCAACTAGAGAAAGCCCGCGCGCAGCAACGAAGACCCAACGCAGCCAAAAATAAATAAATAATTTTTTTAAAAAAAAGACTGCACTGAAAATGATATGACCCAACACAGTGCCAGCTAGGAAAAAGTCCTGCCATATCCCCAACCACCCAAAAAACCAAACACCAACCCCGCCACCAAAAACCCCTTGAATCTCATAGAGCCTTTACATCCAATTACCAATTTATAGGAAATATAGAGAATAGGGGAAACAAGTCAAACTATATCTTGGGGGTTATAATCAATAAACCAATGAGGGAATCTTAAGGACAAACAACTTCATTTTTTCAGTAAAAATGAATCACACACAAAATAGTGGAGACGGAATCTACTGATTAAAGGAGACTTAAAAGATATAACCAATTGCAGTATGCAGACCTTATCTGGATCCTGAGAGGACATACTTTAAAATAACAATA